GAAGCTTAAAAAGATTCTTTTCTGCCTCAGATAGTCCATGGCTCATGCAGCGCCAACAGTTTCATCCACAAAGAAGACAACGAACTATGCTCGCCTATGTCGCTTGCTGGTTGATGCTGGTACCCAGGCCCTTAGAGACACATTCAATGCCATCCATCCACCAGCGAATCTTCAATCAGTTTTGACAGCCAATAAAGCAACTATACAGTCGCTGAGAAAGAGAAAGGTTATCAACGCAACGCAATGGGGAAAGCTCTATCCTGTTATTCCATCCTCAGTGTCTTCCAGAGACTTTGATATCACACTTTTAATGGTTCTGCTTCGAAACCTGTGCGGCTTACCTTCTCCCGCGGCAGGCTGGGATACACTTCCTGCTGCAACAGATGTGAGTCTTGAAGCTGATATCGCCCGAGTCAAATATTACAGAAACTCTGTGTACGGTCATGCTGAGTGTGCTTCAGTAGATGATGCGATGTTCAACACATGCTGGGGCGACATCCGGGACACTCTAGTGAGACTGGGTGGAGCGAAATACAAAGCAGCCATTGACGATCTTGAAACAGAGTGTATGGACCCTGAAGTTGAAGATCACTACAAAGAACTTCTCAGCCAATGGAAGAAAGACGAAGGCAATGTGAAAGATAAACTAGATGAGGTGATCGAAAAGTTAGTTGAATTGAAAACATCAAGCATGACTCAAAAAGAGAAACCTGAAATTGAAGGTCAGCATCTTTTAATGCTGTTTTTTTGTTTCTTTGATTTTGTTTGTTTGCGGGGTTTTTCTTCTTTCTTCGTTCTTTCGAGAATATGTACTGATAATTTATCGATAAACACCGCCATAAAAGAAGAAAACTATCCTGGGGGAAAAATTTTAAGAACAAAGTCTGGCCTGTTCAAAGTTTGTGAACCAGCTTTCGAGAGTCAGTCGTTGAGGATAGTAAGTGCTACAGGTCAGGCATTGCGCAGAGTCTCAGTCAATAGAGTGGTTCGTACGTCGATGATGTTAAGCTATGTGGTTGTTGACGCCACTAGTTATCGTCATTCGTTTGTGTTCAGTCAGTCTTGTTGTGAGGTTTCTGTCAGTCTCTCTGATGTAGGAGGCGTGGCAGTCTGAACTGTTGATCCCATAAATCGCTCCCTGTCTGTTCTTCGGTTCGTCCTTGTCTTTGACGTTTGTTAGTGACTGACATTGTGTAGTGATGGATTTGTAGACGACACGGATACTAAAGGGTTGTAGGACGGGTCATATGGTTTCATACATGCCCTTTATGCCCAGCAGAGTCACTTTAGTCGTTGCGCTATCGTTTGTTTTAGGAGTTACTGGAGATCAATGAGTGTTTCGTCGATTGAGGTCGTCGTTGTATTTGTTTTTTTCTTTTTTAAACAATGTCAATGAATTTCTTCTCGTCGGATAAGCTGGCTGTCGTTTGCAAACTAGTTGCTTTGGTCTCGGCTTTGTGTGACGTTGGCCGACATCACTCGCCGAAAAGACAGAGAGGGTTTGGTCCGGCAATTCTCTCAATTTATTCACCTCGGTAAATGATTATAGCTCCAGTAACATTGAGAAAATCAGACAATCAAACAAAACGTGGCCTTCTTCTCGGGCCCGGACCTCCTAAGGTTCTTAACACTTACCCACATGTGTCGACCACAGATGCCGAATTTGTTCTAACTACATATTAATTATTTATAATAATATACGGAGGAAAGTAACCTTCAGCTGAGACTTTTATTTCCTTGTTTTAACAGAAGGTAAACCACTTGTGTCGAAAGACCTGCAGAGCTCTTCCAAGTGTAAAAAGAGACATAACGAAACCGAGCCACTCGATTACTACTGCACGGACTGCAAAGTTTGCATTTGCGACAAGTGTGGGAAAACTCGTCACACTCATCACACTAAAGTGAGTATCCAACAGGCCACTGAGGAAGAAAAACTGAAGATAGCGGAGCTTGTGGAACAAGTTAAAATACAAATTACCGAGTTTGAGTCGAAAGTGGAAAGAATGACAAGACTATTTGCAATAAGCAAAGAAAAAATATCTGCAGCTCGTAGTTTAGCGCAGACAACTGCTGAAGAACTCATTCGCGCCTTAAAGGAGCACGAGAAGTGCGTTGTCAACGAGTTGGACGTCATTGAAAAAAGACAAGAAAGAGATTATGCAACTCAACTAGAAAGCATGCAAGCGTCTGTCAACGAATTGAAATGCTCTGTGGAAAATTGCGAGGACATCCTTCAAAGAGACGCCAGCTTTGAAACTCTACGCACACAAATTAATGACACTGAAAAATGTAAAAGAGTTCTGAAAGAAACAAAATTGGACATTTACGAACCCTGTCATGTACACTACCAATTATTTGAGGAGCACATTCGAGTAATGAAAGATAGATCTCCTGGCGAACTACTGGATAGCAATACAGATCCTTCAAGGTCATATGTGAGAGATAATGACCTAAAACAACCTGAAGCTGGGCGAACAAAGGATTTTGACATCGTTACAATTGATTCAGAAGGAGAACAGTGCTATCATGAAATCGATGAAATCAAAGTGACAGTTCGGAGTCCGACGGGAATAGTCCTCGACAGCAAGACTGATAGCTGGGTGCCACGTGGGACATACAGGGTAAGGTACACACCAGCATGTGATGGAGAACATGAAGTGACAGTTTTAGTGAATAATGAACCACTTTCTGGTAGTCCGTGGAGCGTAAGCGTGACGCCGCATAAATATAGCTTCTTTCATTACTTTGGATCACCAGGTAAAGCACGCAAACAATTCAAAGAACCCTGTGCTGTTGCAGTAGACAAAAACAAAATGACGATAGCAGTAGCTGATCGAAAGGAACAAAGAGTGCAACTGTACGATTTTTGTAATTCTGAGCATCTTACAGACCTCGGTGAGAAGGGGTCAGCGGCTATAAGACTAACAAACCCCACCTCTGTCGCATTCACCCAATCTGGTGACGTCATTGTCATTGCCTCTGGTATCATGTTTTGCTTTGCTGTAAGTGGTAATTTTCTTGGGTGTATTAACAACAAAAAACTCAAGCGTCCGTTTTCATTGAGTGTAACCAGCAATGGCCGCCTCCTGGTGTGCGATAGCGGTGACAAGTCAGTCAAGGTCCTCTCTCCTGATGGGACAGAATTGTTACAGTCCTTCAGTGCTCCAGACTGTGATGGCTCCCCGTGGAAAGCTGTTTGTCACCAAGACATGTTCTTCGTGTCTTACCCCGAAGCTCGTTGTGTTAAAACATTTAATAAGGACGGGGACTTTCTCTATGATATTGGCAAAGAGGATGCACGCGAAGGACACTTGAGTCAGCCTCGCGGACTCGCTGTTGACACCTTTAACAATCTAGTGGTTTGTGACGAGAAAAAAAAGACGTTGAATGTCTTCAAACTGAATGGAACATTTTTAAACACAGCCACTGAAAATAATGTCCTCAGCTGTCCTTCGTCTATTGCTGCCCTCTCAGCTAATGAATCCCCATGGCTTATCATTGCTGATTCCAGGAAAAAATGTGTCATAATGTTTGACTAACTGACATAATCAATTTTTTATTAGAATTTGTAGTGTTCTGATTGGTTCATTCAGTCTTGTCTATGATTACCCTATGAACTTTGAATTGACGATACATGGTAAATGACTTTACCGGGTTTCGTTGAGTTAATTTTTCTTTCTTAATGCGGAAAGAGAACATTTCTATAGAACGTATTTGAGCAAGACTACAAGCGACGTATTCGACTTGGTCTATTGCTCCCGGCCGAAGCACTCGATGGTTTGTCGTTGCTGATCCCAGCAAAAAGGAGGATACCCAGTCATTGACCTTGAACAAAATCTCCCTTTAATTCCTTTTCAAACCCAGATAAACCATAAGCTGCCTTTATTATTTCTTTTTTAAAATCTAATAAGGTAACCGTTTAAATTAATCGAAGTGTGACATAAACGCTTTGCTGTAAAGCTGGTTGAAGGAATAGGTGTTTTCCAGACCCGTAGCTCGATTATGTGGAAGCCATATTTCTATTAACTGTCGGAAATATTTTGTACTTATTAGTCGAGAGCTATGACTATTGACAGTCTGTCAATCATATTATAAAACAAAAGGAAGTACCAAGAATATTAAGAAGCTGTTGAAAGTCAGTTTAATTTTATCAGCTCAAGTCAACGCCACGATAAAGTACTCTTTTAGAAAGCTGGAAATTTAAGAGAGGTTAGACGTTGATCTTCTAATCCGCACTACACTTTCTTGTTATAATGATTTTAAAGATAAAAAATAAGACAGAAGTATATTCCGGTGTGTTACATTTTCTATTACGACGCAATTTTTAAGTGCAGATTTTCTGAAGTGAAGATAATTTGGTAAAAACCACAATCTAAGAGATACTTCTTGGCCACTTCAGTATATGTTGGGTAACATGTACTCTACATGATATATTCTGGACCAAGACAATTAACAATATTGAAGAAAAAAAAAGTTTAATAGTCGATAAAAACTGCTCCACAGTTGAATTGATTCCAACAGCTTTTACAACAGAGAAATGAATTATCTTTTGAGAAATATACGGGTACAGAGAAATATACTGAGATAGGTAAAAAAAAAGAGACTATACTTGAGACAGGTAAAAAAAAAAGAGGCTATTCTTTCACCCATGTAGTCTCTTTGCTTTTTTATCTATCTCAATATATATCACGTTCTACTTCTACGTAACGAGCACTGTACAACGGAAAAATCAAAACACAGACTTCCAGGTATAGAGAAATATATATAAGGAGTTGGTGACCTCCTTAACTAAGGCCAGATGG